AGCCACAGCCGCAACCCCAGCCGCAGCCGCAACAACGACCAAGATCGCCCTCCCCGGTACCGGGAGAAACGACACCAACGACAACAAGGCCTAAAAAAGGTAAAAAACCAGCGGGCAAGCCGCGAAGGCTAATGAAAGATGTACCGTCAACGTCGTCTGCGTCGCCGCCGCCGCCGCCGCCGCCGCCGCCACCACCCCCAGCATTACGAAGATCGGCCCGACTGTCCGGGCGTGAATCGGCCTCCGCCCACAGTGACAGCGGGGCAAGCAACAAACCAGCAAGGAAGATACGCATGAAAGTGAACCACTTCACTGAGCAATTAGACGCCATTATCATCCAACACGCGCTACAGACATGCGCCATATCGAACCTGACGAATTGGTCAGTTTTGAAGGAGTCCAAACCCGAACACTTCGCTGGATTTACGGCGTCCCAGTTGCGATACCGGGTCAAGCAACTGAGTGCCGGTATACACAAACCGCAATTCGGCATCGAATTCCAAGCCGAATTACAGCAGATCAAACACATGGTGCGTCACCAGAAGTGGTAGATATTTAAATATAAAAAACACAAAAAAAAACATTAAAATCTAAAAAACAAAAAAAACATTAAAACAAAAAATAAAAAAAAATTATTAGTGTGAGCTCCCATATCATTAATCGCCCGTCCCTATTCCAATTTCCCTTTCCTTCCCATTCCCCTTCCTCCCCGCCGATGTGGCCGCCACCTTGTCGCGGTGGCGGGGCTTGAGCGTACGTTTCCGTACCGACCAAGAGCGGCCACTCCTTGCGAAAACTTGAAGGATTTTCAAAAAAAAGGTCGAAAAAAGGGGGGTCCAGGACAACGTTCTCGACATTTGGAATCGCATGGCATAGGTCCTGAAAAAGATATTTTTTCAAAGTTACCCCTTGGGACTTGTAAATTTTCAGTTTCAACCCCCTGTTCCAAGAGTACAGAGCCCAAACGGAGGGTAGGGGGGGGATGGGACCTGGGGGGATATTTAGTCCTCCTCGAGGGGACCAACTTTCCCTCAGGTCCCACCCCCCCCAGTCCACTCCCTTGAGAGCTACTGTAAAGTGAAAAATCAACCCCTTGAAGGAGGGGTCGGAGGGGGATGGGACCTGGGCCACTTTTCGAGTCGTGAAAAATCTCTTTAGGTTCCGTCATAAAAAAATTTTGAAAATTTTCAAAAATTTCTAAATCCCGAACGGGGGGTAGGGGGGGGATGGGACCTGGGGGGATGGACGCGTATGGTCAAGGGCTACCTTCGGTCCTCAGACCCCAACCCCCCCGACCCTCCCCTTAGGAGTTACAGCCCAAAAACCAAAATCCCCAATTTCAACCCCTCGAAGGAAGGGTCGGAGGGGGTGGGACCTGTACCAAAGTTCAAATCATAAATTTCCGCTCCAAGATCCGTCATAAAAAAAAATTGTCAAAATTCTCAAAAAACTGTCACACAACCCATTACCTAACCTAAACTCTTATGGAAAATGACTTCTAAAGGAGTAACGTTTACTGGCCCAGGGGATCCGGACCCCCAGGGCCCGGCGGATGAGAGATGCTCTCAGGAACACCGTCCCGGTCTCTCTCCGTCGTTATCCAACAACGGGCCGAGCGCTATATTAAAAGAGGCGAGCACAGCGAAGGTCGCTCGCGACAGGAAGGGGATGTTTAAGCATCTAGGAGATCCGGAGCGTCATGAACGTCCCTGGCCAAAATGCTCCAAGAGCAGAGACTCCAGCTCTGAGAGCAGGAAGAGCTCTAGATCAAGATCTAGGTCTAGGGGCAAGACGAGGATGGGAGCAGACAGAACTTCTTCTTCGCCAGAGGTAGAACGAGACCCGTCACCAGACTCGTTTGTGTCGATAGACACGGAAGGAGAAGTAGAGGAGGTGATGGAGGTGGAGGGGGGCTCAGAAAAGCCTCCCTCGACTTCCGTTTCCTCAGAGGACCCCACGGATCGGAAGTTAATCTCCGAATTCAGGGGGTTCCTTAGAAAGTATCTGGGACATTCACAGGATACACTCCAAGAGGTGCTCGGAACGGAATGTCCGAATATCTCTATGGCGTGGCAAGAGGATGAGCAAGGGCGAGCTCCCACAACATTCGAGGTCTATATCAACAGACTAAAAGAGGCAAAGGAGCATCTTGTCACAGAGGCCCTCGAGCTGAGGAATCTGAAGGAGGGAATAGGACAGGTTAATCAATCACAAGGCAGGAAAGCCTTAGAGAAGAAACTGAAGAAAGAGCTGGCAAATGCGCCGACGGAAACGCTGCCAGGCTACATAGTAGAAACGGTGGAGAAACTAGATAGGGTACTGGAGAAGTCCAGTAACCTCAAGGGGGAGCATCAAGGCGCCTTAAAGAATGCGGCCGCGACGATTTCGGCGGCATTGACGCACCTGATTGCAAGACAACATGGACACGAAGATGTTCATGAGAGAGAGGCAGAGATCGAAAGACTTCGGCAAAGATCAGCCGAGTTAGAAAAGACAGTCAAAACAGTGACGGAGGAGAATGATAATATGAAGAAAGAGATGACGGCACAGCACCAAACGATAGTGGAGCTGCAACGCCAACTAGATTGGATGAAGGAGGATTTACAGACGGGGGAGAGAAGGAAAGTTCAGCAGGATAACCAGCAGAACCGAGAGATGGTGACGAGAAAGAGGAGAAGGACAATGATGTTGTCCACTTCTCCTTCGTCCGCCTCCCCCCTCCTGTCAGAGGTAGAGGATGAGGGTGAGGAGGCACCCACACAGAAAGGGATTCCTCAAGAGAAAGAGATGACAGATGTCTATCTGGGTCCAGAGAAAACTCCGTTGCCAGAGACAGGTACGGAAATGAAAACAGATGGAGAAGTGGACATGGTGGCCTTCAGAAAGAAGGAAGAGGAAGAAGCGGAAATGAAGGCCTCCAGAGAAAAGAGAGAGAGGATCTTAGCAGAGATAGAGAGAGACGGCGCGAAACCGGTGAAAAGACCGCCATTACGAGGCGAACAAAAGGTCGTAGCGCCGGGTATTCCTCCCAATAACGGCGGCAAAGAAGCTGTAGTAGAAAAGAAGGGAGGGAATATCGGGACGGAAGAAATGATGAAAAGATTATCGGAAATAATAGTCCACTCAATAAATGAGAAGGTGGAAAAGATAAAAGAGAGGTTGCTCGGAAAAATAGAGGGCAGGATCCATCAGGACAAGGACGGGAAGGCAGTGGCTGGGAAGACAACGCCACAAGCCCTCATTCCTGCATCAAAGGCACAGAAAGCCAAGAAGAAACAGGAAAAGAAGAAGGAAGAGAAGAAGGGAGAGCCTCCAAAGGAGAAAGAAAGAAAGGCGGCTCCCCCGAAGAAGATAGGAAAAGAGATGGAGTCACAACCATCGCCCCAACCCACCACTCAACCCACCGAAAAGTGGACGGAGGTGGTGGGCAGGAAGGAGAGAGCGATAGCTCGAAAGAAGGAGGAAGAGAAAAAGAGGGCTGAGGAGAAGAAGAAAACAGCCCCCCTGTCACAACAGAAGCAGCCGTCAGGGCAGTCCAAACGCAGGGAACCCAGGACCTCTGCGGTAACTTTGACGTGTCCAAAGGACACGTACGCGGACTGTATGGCGGCTGTTAGGAGGAGCATTAAACTCAAGGATTTGGGGATAGAGACCTCCCCAAACATCAGAAGGACCGCCACGGGAGCCATCAACCTGGAGCTCTCGGGCCAGGGTAACGCTGCGAAAGCAGACGCCCTGGCAGCGAGAATGACTGCGGTCCTTCAGAGAAGGGAGGGGGTGAAGGTGACCCGTCCAAGCCTGTCAGCGGAAGTAAGGCTGACAGGCTTCGACGAATCCGTGACGGAGGATGAAATCAAGGAGGCGGTGGCCGAACAGGGCCAAGCCTTCCCAACATCAATCACGGTAGGTAAGATCAGAGGGGGGCCGAGGGGGATGTACACGGTAGTGGTAAGTGTCCCCTCAAGGCGGCCAACTCCCTGATTAAGGAAGGGAAAATAGCGCTGGGGTGGGCGCGAGTCAGAGTAGAATTGCTAGACAAGCGTCCGCTCCAGTGCTATAAATGCATGGAAGTGGGACACACAAGAGCCACTTGCATCAAGGAGGTGGATAGGACGGGTGCGTGCTACAGGTGCGGTAAAGAAGGGCACCCAGCAAAAGAATGCGTCGCACCCGTGCACTGTGTAGTGTGCGAGGGCAAAGGCTTGCCAGCCAACCATAGGTTGAGGGGCAAGTCATGTCTGGGAGGAAGAAGAAAGAAAGGGAGTAATCCTCCTAGAAAGAATAGAAAGGGGAAGGAGTCGGAGCCCACCGGGAAGGAGTCTGAGCCTACCGGGAAGGAGACAAGGACCAAGGGGGAGAAGAAACCCCAGAAAGGTAAAGGGAGGATGGCTCCCCAAAAGAAACCACCTAAAGTAGTGTCCGTGGAGACCCTAAAGGGCACTAGGGTGGTGAAAGCGGGAGGAAAGGTACCGGCGATAGGCTAGATCGTGGCCCCAGAGAGAATGGAAACGGAGACGATGGCCACAGGAGAGGATAAAGACTGCAGGATGGAGCAGGAAGGAACAAAGGAGGAGGGGACAGAAAAGGACCCCTGGCCAAAAGGCGAAGGCACACAGCCTTGATCAGAGGAGGCGATGCAAGATTAAGTAATGGCCACTAAAATCCTGCAAACCAATCTCAACCACGCCCGCGCCGCCCAGGACTTGTTCGTTCATACTATGGCGGTGCGCGGGTGTGGGTTGGGAATCGTCGCGGAGCCCTACCGTGTCCCAGCAAACCATCCTTGCTGGGTCAAGGACACGGGGGGCTCAGTGGCGATAACATGGAGGATGCTGCCCAACTCTCCCCCGTGTAACTTCATTGAATCGGGGGAGGGTTTCGTGGCGGTGCAATGGGGGCTCATCTCCGTGATAGGAGTGTATACTCCTCCGAGTTGGGACCAGTCCAGATTTGAAAAGGCATTGCGGGAGTTAGACGCGTGCATCCGCAGATGTCTACCTGGGCTGGTCATGGTGGCCGGAGACTTCAATGCGAAGTCAACGCTATGGGGTTCTCCGGCCACCGACAGGAGGGGCAGAGCGACGGAGGTATGGGCGGCGGGTCTCGGCCTGTGTGTTTTAAATACGGGCCGAGAAAACACCTGTGTGCGCAGGCGGGGTGGGTCGATTGTCGACCTTACGTTGGCAAATCCCCCTGCCGCGCGCAGAACAACGGGTTGGAAGGGTAGTCACGGACCGCGAAACAGCGTCGGATCATCTGTACATTGAAATGGCGGTCCGTGCCACCCCAGAAGAAGTACTAACCCGTCGCCGAAAAAGAGAGAAGGAATCGCGGAGATGGGCCCTTAAAAAACTGGACCGGGACCTGCTGATGGCAGCGGTCCTGGTCCAGAACTGGGATCAAGAGGGAACAGCCGACGGGGAGATGGGGGATGTAAACATCGGGGCTGAGAACCTGGTCAGAACTATGACCAGGGCATGCGACGTGGCAACGCCCCGGGTTCGCAGACTCCCTCCTCGACGGGCTGCATACTGGTGGAGCTCGGAGATAGGAGAGCTCAGGAGAGAGGCCACCAGGGCTAAGAGGAAGTGGCAAAGGGCCCGCGCGGGAAGACGCGGGCCTCTCACCGAGGAGGAAGCGGGAGAGGCCTGGCGTGCTGCCCGTCAGAGCCTCTCCCTGGCAATATACGCGGCCAAGGAGCAGGCCTGGAAGGAGCTCCTCGCGAGCGTGGAGGAAGATCCATGGGGGCGTCCATATAAGTTGGTCAAAGATAAACTGAGACCATGGGCGCCCCCCATCACGGAGAGTTTGGACCCCCAGTTCACTGAACAGGTGGTGGACGCTCTGTTCCCGCGTGGGGATGGGGGGAAAGTTAGGTTCCCCAGGGTACCCACGTGGAAGTGGAGCGAAGAACTGAGGGTCACAGAGGAGGAGCTCGCGAGGGCTCTCAAAAGGGTCAGGAGGGGTAAGGCTCCTGGCCCTGATGGGATTCCGGGCTGTGCTTGGACCTTGGCTGCGGGGGAGCTGTCCGGCAGGATGCGCGGAGTATACACCGCGTGCCTAAAGACTGGACAGTTCCCCGAAAGATGGAAAAAGGCCAATCTGGTGCTCCTGCTGAAGGCGGGGAAACCCGCGGATTCCCCGTCCGCGTTTCGGCCCGTGTGCCTGCTGGACGAGGCTGGCAAGATATTAGAAAGGATCATAGCCAAACGCCTCGTCCAGCATATCTCCCAAAGGGAGAGGGAGGGCTTGGGAGGTCTCTCGAACGACCAATTTGGCTTCCGTGCGGGTAGATCGACGGTGGATGCGTTAAAGCGCGTCCTCGCCCGCACGGGGGCCGAGGTAGAGCAGGGGAGCGTAGCGATGGGCGTTTCATACGACGTTAGAAACGCCTTTAACTCCCTCCCCTGGCTCGTGATAGGAGAGGCGCTGTTGGCGCTAGGAGTTCCCTCCTCTCTCATATAGATCGTCCGGGAGTATTTCAGGTGTAGGGGCCTGACGTACACGGACCGGAACGGAGTCCTGAGGATCAGGCTCGTGGAGTGCGGGGTCCCCCAGGGGTCAGTCCTGGGGCCCCTACTCTGGATTATTGGGTATGACCTGGTCCTCAGGACGCCCCTCCCCCTGAATTGCTGGCTCTTGGGTTACGCGGACGACGTGTACCTGGGGGTCAGCGGGGAGAGGTGGCGGGAGCTGACCAGATTGGCGGAGGTGGCATCCACGTGCGTGGTGCGATCGATCAGGAGGCTGGGCCTGGAGGTGGCCCCGCAGAAGACAGAAGTCGTCGTCTTCTACAATAAGCGGGGCCAGAGACCTCCACCGGAGGGGCTCAGCGTCCTGGTCGAAAAAGTGAGAATCCCGGCCGCTCCTTATATCAAGCACCTGGGAGTTTGGCTGGATGGCCAAAGAAGCTTCGGCGCGCACGTGACCAACGTGGCGGATAAGGCCACGAGAGCGGCAAACGCCCTAGCAAGGCTCCTCCCTAACATCGGAGGAGCTAGTGGTCGTGTGCGACGCCTCTACGTGGCGGCGGTCCAATCGGTGCTGTTATATGCAGCACCGATTTGGTGGGAAGAGGTGGGGAGAAATCCCCACCTCAACAGGCGAATGGCGGCGGCTCAAAAGGCCATTGTTCTGAGGGCAGCGAGAGCCTATAGGACCGTCTCCCACGTAAGGGCTTCAATCCTCGCGGGTGTCCCCCCCCGTGCACCTGATTGCCGCGTCGTACGCAGAAATGTACGATCGCACGAAGGCGATCAGGGCTGTGCGGGGGGTAATCCCGCCGAAGGCTAAGAGGGCGTTGAAGCAGCAGGTGGCGCACTCTCTCATCCTGAAATGGAAAGAATACCTACAGGATCCGAGGTTACCGGGCGGGAGAGTGCGTCAGGCCGTCCAGCCGGTGCTGGAGGAGTGGTTGGAGCGTCGGAGACGCGGCTCCACGTTCCATACGACGCAGGTAATTAGTGGCCATGGTTGTTTTGGCCAATACCTGTGTCGTATCGGGAGGGAACGCACCACGCGCTGCCACCACTGCCCGGAGGAGGCAGACACGGCGCAGCACACCCTGGAGTTTTGTCCAGCGTGGGAAGAGCGGCGCCGTGTCCTTCGGGCGGTGGTGGGGAACGATCTCTCCCTCCAGGCCATCATAAGGGCCACAGTGGAGGGGAATGGAGAAGAGAAGTGGAGGTCATTCGCCTCCTTCTGCAACGCGGTAATGGGGCAGAAGGAGGCGGACGAGCGCATTAAGAGGGGGGAGGTAGATCCCCTCCTCAAATAGCGATGGAGATGGAGAGGGAGGCGGGGCACCGAGGCCTCCTCCGCAGGTAAGACGGCGGAGGAGGCGGAGACAGGGGGGCCAAAGAGCCGTCGGTGCCCTTGCCGGAGCGTTAGACGCGGCTGCACCTTAGTGCAGCCGCTGCTTAGTTGTGAAGCCAGAGGATACCCTTTCCCCCTCCCACCCCTGGTCCCGGAGGGGGAAGGGGGGTGGCAAATAAGTCCGGTTAAAACGGGTTCGGCCGGGGGCGGGGGCCTGACTTCTTCGGAAGGTGGGGCCCCTAGCTCACGGCCGGATGGTTAGGAAGGGTGGCGCGGCGGCTCGGGGGGGGCTTGGGTTACTCCCTCAAGGGGGTGTGACCACGAGCGCCCCCCCCGGGCCGCGGCCGGGGGCGGGGGTCGGGGCCGCGAGGGTGTGAGCCTTCGAGGGTCCCGGCCCTCCCCCTTGCCCCTCACGTGGGGGGCGCGAGCAGGGGAGGAAACGGCTGCGCGAAGCGCATATATGCGCAGCAGTCATCTTCTTCCCCTGCTCGCCCGAAGGCGGGGGCGAGGTTGGGGGACCTCGCCCCCGTGCCGCAAGGCAACTCCGAAGGGCGGGGTAGCGCATGAAGGCGGTGACACTCATGCGCTGCAAGTCGGGTTCAAGCGCGGGGAGGCCCATGGACGGATCATGACGTTTCTCGGGGCCTCCCCTACAAAGCGCAGCAAGGGTCACCCGGGGTGGTTTTAGCCGGTAAAAGTCCGGCATAACCTCCGGCTCCCCCCAGAGGCGGGGGTATCCGTGAGGATTTCCCCCCCGTCACCAAAAAAAAAAAAAAAAAAAGGAGGACGGACGCGCTTCACATCGCTCCGTATAAGTGGGACAATAGTTGTTCGAGAACGAGCTCGATCGTCTATTTGGTTTTCGTTTCGTCGCGCAAACGAAGCTTCAAGAAGCGTGCTTCTCGCGTGATCATCGCATGGCCCTATTCTTCGGTTGCTGTGATGGGCGGTCCTTTACTTGTTTTTCGTACAACCAACGACGATCAGGCGAGAGCGTTACCGTTCGGAGCAACGCGACGCGTCGTCAGTCGGCGTATCGAAATCATCGGGCAAGCTCGTCGTCTCCGCGAATCCCGACAAAATTGGTGATCGCGCGGTGTTTCTCCGGCGTGTATGAGCAAATTATAACACGATCCTACACCTCCGTCAGTGGCAGTGAATCACAC